GCCCTACCGAGAACCCCCCCCCAAACCCTACCGAGAACCCACCCCCCCCAAGCCCTACCGAGAACCCACCCCGCCAAGCCCTACCGAGAACCCACCCCCAAGCCCTACCGAGAACCCACCCCCCAAGCCCTACCGAGAACCCACTCCCCCAAGCCCTACCGAGAACCCACCCCCCCAAGCCCTACCGAGAACCCACCCCCCCAAGCCCTACCGAGAACCCACCCCCCCAAACCCTACCGAGAACCCACCCCCCAAGCCCTACCGAGAACCCAGCCCAAAGCCTTACCGAGAACCCAGCCCAAAGCCCTACCGAGAACCCAGCCCCAATACCTACCAAGAACCCACCCCAAGCCCTACCAAGGACCCACCCGAAGCCGGACAGACACCCACCTGGAGCCCGAACAGTCACCCACCCGGAGCCCGACCAGTCAAACACCCGGAGCCCGCCAGTTTAGTAAACCGGAGCCCGCCAGTTGAGTGAACCGGAGCCCGCCAGTTGAGTGAACTGGAACCCGTCAGTTGAGTACCTGGAGCCTGCCCTGAGCCCTACCGAGAACCCACCCTGAGCCCGACCAAGAACCTACCCCGAGCCCTACAGAGGTTCCCCAAGCCCGAGAGCCTATCCCGATCCCGAAAGAGCCCACCCCGAGCCTGACCGGGAGCCAACCCCAAACCCTACCAAGAACCCATCCCCAAGCCCTACCAAGAACCCACCCCCAAGCCCTACCAAGAACCCTGCCCTAATACCTACCAAGAACCCTGCCCTAATACCTACCAAGAACCCACCCCAAGCCCTACCAAGAACCCACCCGAAGCTGGACAGACACCCACCTGGAGCCCGAACAGTCACCCACCCGGAGCCCGACCAGTCAAACACCCGGAGCCCGCCAGTTTAGTAAACCGGAGCCCGCCAGTTGAGTGAACCGGAGCCCGCCAGTTGAGTGAACTGGAACCCGTCAGTTGAGTACCTGGAGCCCGCCCCGAGCCCTACCGAGAACCCACCCTGAGCCCGACCAAGAACCTACCCCGAGCCCTACAGAGGTTCCCCTAGCCCGAGAGCCTATCCCGATCCCGAAAGAGCCCACCCCGAGCCCTACCGAGAACCCACCCCCCAAGCCCTACCAAGAACCCACCCCCCAAGCCCTACCGAGAACCCAGCCCCAAGCCCTACCGAGAACCCAGCCCCAAGCCCTACCCGAGAACCCAGCCCCAAGCCCTACCGAGAACCCAGCCCCAAGCCCTACCGAGAACCCAGCCCCAAGCCCTACCGAGAACTCAGCCCCAAGCCCTACCGAGAACTCAGCCCCAAGCCCTACCGAGAACCCACCCCCAAGCCCTACCGAGAACCCACCCCAAGCCCTACCGAGAACCCACCCCCAAGCCCTACCGAGAACCCACCCGAAGCCGGACAGACACCCACCTGGAGCCCGAACAGTCACCCACCCGGAGCCCGACCAGTCAAACACCCGGAGCCCGCCAGTTTAGTAAACCGGAGCCCGCCAGTTGAGTGAACCGGAGCCCGCCAGTTGTGTGAACTGGAACCCGTCAGTTGAGTACCTGGAGCCTGCCCCGAGCCCGACCGAGAACCCACCCAGAGCCCTACCGAGAACCCACCCTGATCCCTACAGAGAACCCACCCCTAGTCCTACCATGAAAACACCCTGAGCCCTACAGAGAACCCACCCTGGGCCCGACCAAGAACCTACCCCGAGCCCTACAGAGGTACCCCAAGCCCGAGAGCCCATCCCGAACTCGAAAGAGCCCACCCTGAGCCTGATCGGGAGCCAACCCTAAGTCCTACCAAGAACCCACCCCGAACCCCTACCAAGAACATACCCAAAGCCGGACAGACACCCACCTGGAGCCCGAACAGTCACCCACCCGGAGCCCGACCAGTCAAACACCCGGAGCCCGCCAGTTTAATAAACCGGAGCCCGCCAGTCGAGTGAACCGGAGCCCGCCAGTTGAGTGAACTGGAACCCGTCAGTTGAGTACCTGGAGCCCGCCCCGAGCCCTACCGAGAACCCACCCCGAGCCCTACCAAGAACCCACCCCGAGCCCTACAGAGAACCCAACCCCCCCCGAGCCCTACCAAGAACCCACACCCCCCCGAGCCCTACCAAGAACCCACACCCCCCCGAGCCCTACCAAGAACCCACACCCCCCCGAGCCCTACCAAGAACCCACACCCCCCCCCGAGCCCTACCAAGAACCCACACCTCCCCGAGCCCTACCAAGAACCCACACCCCTGGTTGATACCTGGTTGATGGGGTTCTGGGAGTTCGTCTACTCCCCAAGCCCGGCCCGAGGCCAGGCTCGACTTGTGAGAGTTTGGTTGACCAGGCTGTTGCTTGGAGCGGCCCGCAGGCCCACATACCCACCACAGCCCGGTTGGTCCGGCACTCCTTGGAGGAATAAATCTAGTTTCCTCTTGAAAATGTCCACGGTTGTTCCGGCAATATTTCTTATGCTTGCTGGGAGGACGTTGAACAACCGCGGACCTCTGATGTTTATACAGTGTTCTCTATATTGTGCCTATGGCACCTCTGCTCTTCATTGGTTCTATTCTACATTTTCTTCCATGTCGTTCACTCCAGTACGTTGTTATTTTACTGTGTAGATTTGGTACTTGGCCCTCCAGTATCTTCCAGGTGTATATTATTTGATATCTCTCTCGTCTTCTTTCTAGTGAGTACATTTGGAGGGCTTTGAGACGATCCCAATAATTTAGGTGCTTTATTGCGTCTATGCGTGCCGTATATGTTCTCTGTATTCCCTCTATTTCAGCAATCTCTCCTGCTTTGAAGGGGGAAGTGAGTACTGAGCAGTACTCAAGACGGGACAACACAAGATACGAAAATCGGTAGGGAAATTAATTCGGAGGAGGACTCACTATCACTTCAAGTTGATCTAGATAGGGTTTTGAAATGGTCAAAGGATTGGCAGATGCAGTTTAATGCTGATAAATGTAAAGTTCTGAGGTTAGGTAATGATGATAGAGTTACAAGATACGAGCTAGATGGTGTTGTGATTGCGAAGTCGGATTGCGAAAGGGATCTGGGAGTTATGATTAGTAAGAATTTAAAACAAAAGGATCAATGCATAAATGTTCGTAATAAGGCAAATCGGACACTTGGATTTATTAATCGCAGCGTTAGTAACAAGACACCTGGTGTGGTTCTCAAGCTATATCTTGCTCTAGTTAGGCCCCATTTAGATTATGCAGTTCAGTTTTGGTCGCCATATTATAGAATGGATATAAATTCACTTGAACGTGTCCAGCGTAGGATAAGAACATAAGAACATAAGAACAAAGGTAACTGCAGAAGGCCTATTGGCCCATACGAGGCAGCTCCTATTCTATAACCACCCAATCCCACTCATATACTTGTCCAACCCGTGCTTGAAACAATCGAGGGACCCCACCTCCACAATGTTACGCGGCAATTGGTTCCACAAATCAACAACCCTGTTACTGAACCAGTATTTACCCAAGTCTTTCCTAAATCTAAACTTATCCAATTTATATCCATTGTTTCGTGTTCTGTCCTGTGTTGATACTTTTAATACCCTATTAATATTCCCCCGGTTATGTCCATTCATCCACTTGTAAACCTCTATCATGTCACCCCTAACTCTTCGCCTTTCCAGTGAATGCAACTTAAGCTTTGTTAATCTTTCTTCATATGAAAGATTTCTAATTTGGGGAATTAACTTAGTCATCCTACGCTGGACACGTTCAAGTGAATTTATATCCATTCTATAATATGGCGACCAAAACTGAACTGCATAATCTAAATGGGGCCTAACTAGAGCAAGATATAGCTTGAGAACCACACCAGGTGTCTTGTTACTAACGCTGCGATTAATAAATCCAAGTGTCCGATTTGCCTTATTACGAACATTTATGCATTGATCCTTTTGTTTTAAATTCTTACTAATCATAACTCCCAGATCCCTTTCGCAAAATGACTAAGTTAATTCCCCAAATTAGAAATCTTTCATATGAAGAAAGATTAACAAAGCTTAAGTTGCATTCACTGGAAAGGCGAAGAGTTAGGGGTGACATGATAGAGGTTTACAAGTGGATGAATGGACATAACCGGGGGGATATTAATAGGGTATTAAAAGTATCAACACAGGACAGAACACGAAACAATGGATATAAATTGGATAAGTTTAGATTTAGGAAAGACTTGGGTAAATACTGGTTCAGTAACAGGGTTGTTGATTTGTGGAACCAATTGCCGCGTAACATTGTGGAGGTGGGGTCCCTCGATTGTTTCAAGCACGGGTTGGACAAGTATATGAGTGGGATTGGGTGGTTATAGAATAGGAGCTGCCTCGTATGGGCCAATAGGCCTTCTGCAGTTACCTTTGTTCTTATGTTCTTAAGTGCCTTGAAGAGTACAACCATTGTGATGGGATCCCTGGATTTGAAAGTTCTCGTAATCCATCCTATCATTTTTCTGGCTGTCGCAATATTTGCTTGGTTATGCTCCTTAAACGTTAGGTCGTCAGACATTATTATTCCCAAATCCTTTACATGCTGTTTTCCTACTATGGGTACATTTGATTGTGTTTTGTACTCTGTATTATGTTTAAGGTCCTCATTTTTACCGTACCTGAGTACCTGGAATTTATCACTGTTAAACATCATGTTATTTTCTGATGCCCAGTCGAAAACTTTATTAATATCAGCTTGAAGTTTTTCAATGTCCTCAGCCGAGGTAATTTTCATACTGATTTTTGTGTCATCTGCAAAGGATGATCCCCCCATAGGATCATAGGATTAAGGACTTGCCCGAAACGCTACGCGTACTAGTGGCTGTACAAGAATGTAACAACTCTTTGTATATATCTCAAAAAAAAAAAAAAAAAAACATTGATAGGCATTGTTCGAAGCAAACTCCATACGCAAAACCCCATTATATTATATAATTCTATATACTGTGTATATATAAGATATAAATATGTCAAAAAGAATTATCACTCTTACCTGGAGCAATGTTGCTGATGTCGGAATCAATCAGCGGTACATGTTGTCGCGTTGGCGTCAGCGACGATACTGACCCCCTGAGCCTTCAACGACCAACCACCGTTTGAACGCCATTTTGAAATTCCAGGCGTACTACCCGAAAAGTGCGTAAACTAGTATTTGCGTGCATTATAGGCCATTCCAAGAAACCTTATTGCTATGAATATCTTGTTATCTAACAAACGAATTATTTATGTTAATATTTTTAGCACATATGTTAAATTAGGCCATTTTTCATTTAGAGGGGGTATATATATATATATAGCTATTTACATTTTAAGTTTGAAAAATTACCGTACAAAATTGAATGCAAAGATAAGATAAGATTTATTTATACAACCCTGTTTGGAAATTAACTCCTTTTACAATGAAATAAGACGCAAATAAGAACCTCAATTGTGTAGTGAATTTTTAGTTTAGTTCATTTATTATGCACCCCATACCCATCTTGTGGGCGGTAGTGGAAAGGGTTACAGAGGCACATAATGGGCTCAGGGACTGAACCCCACAATTCATTTAGCTAAGCAAGTTACAATCTTGATGAGCTAGTTACAAAATTCAATATAAGTCATCACGTCAACAATGGATTCGCTATCGACCTCAAGTACAGGTTCTAAATTAAGCAACTGACATGTGGAGAGATAGTGTCACAAGTTATATGTTTGTCCTGCACACCGCCCCCCATCCAGTGGGCAGCGGTGGATAGGTTACAATCACTTAGTTACTACCTACAGTTAGCAAACTGGGGATATTTGGCTAAAATTTCTGGTAGCAGATCATTTTGAATGAATTTATGCATTTTGTTTTGATTAAAAGCTTAGGTAGTACAATGTACTACTTCTACTACTAATACCATATTATATATGAGGGGCTACTAAATAAAATTAAAGCACAAGCATGTTCACCTAATATCATTAGCTGACAGGTGAAATAATATGAAAGTCGGAAACTATTTGATTCTCTCTTAGAATTTCTACTAATCCTTTCTTTCGTCGAGACCAATATATGTCAGTGACCCCTCAGATAAATTTCATTTGCAGAAATCAAATTATTCGTTCAACCCTGGATAGGAAATGTATATGTTTATCTCTCAGAATGTTTGGTAATATGTTTATTGTTTGTGATGTGTGTCTATGTATGTATTAACACGATGTACTGAACGGGGTGAGAATAGCTTGAGCTACCTCATCCCTTTGTGTATTTTACCTCAATAAACTTATTTCAATTTCAATTCAAACCCTGGTGAGGGGGGGAACCTTGATATAAGCCTAAAGTATAAATATCCACAGACTTCTTGTCCCTCCAATAAAATGAATTATTATTAATAATAATTATATGACCTGGTACTCTCTTTAAAACACGCCCACTTAAAAAAAATTATACACTCCCCATTTTGTTTAAATTTAGTTGTAAAATAAAATAAAAAGTCTCTTAATATTAAACACATAAAATATATATTTTATAAGATGTTTTAACGAAGCAGGATATATACATAAGAACATGAAGTGGCAAGATATAAGGTGACCTTTGGCTGGCCGGGAAGTGAAAGTGTCCGGGGGAGTGATGGGGGTGTAAGCGAGCCAAATAATCTGTAATTATCAGATGGTGGACCGCGCTGCCGGGGCGTCGCCAGGAAGCTCGCTCCCAACCCCACACACACATACTCTAAAACAGCTGTGAATTTGTTAATATATTCAAGAAGCGGCTAAGTTGCAGCAGCTGACTTTGTTGCTCAAGGATCTGAGAATTATTATAATGGTTAGTCTCCTATCTTGGAAGTTGTTGAAGTATTTTATTCCCCAGCATATATTATAGTGTACTACTCTATACATACATACATACATACATACATATGGAGTTCACGTTACCTTGAACATTTCGAGCAATATTATAATGTCATTACAATAGTTTAAGTGTACGACTCCAGTGTTATCTAGGATTAGGTAAGTCACACGCGGTTACAGGGTGTATTTTGACAGCTCATTTAATTGTCAAAACAGTATATATCTTTAGGATGTATTGGTTATGGAGGGAAGAAATAGCCTAAGCTACTCTATCCCTTTCAGATGTATTTTATTATCTCAATAAACTTAGTTGAATTTGTATTGGCTTAGTTTATGCTTGGGGGGAGCCGGTCGGCCGAGCGGACAGCACGCTGGACTTGTGATCCTGTGAACCTGGGTTCGATCCCAGGCGCCGGCGAGAAACAATGGGCAGAGTTTCTTTCACCCTATGCCCCTGTTACCTAGCACTAAAATAGGTACCTGGGTGTTAGTCAGCTGTCACGGGCTGCTTCCTGGGGGTGGAGGCCTGGTCAAGGACCGGGCCGCAGGGACACTAAAGCCCCGAAATCATCTCAAGATAACCTCAGGATATGCTGTATTACATTGTTAGGTTATGTTGGGTATTGTTAGGTTTTTAAACTCCAATGGCAAACCATGTTTTGTACGATGTGACTTGGATCCACGTAACCCAGCTCTGATATTTACAGGAAATTTAGGTTTGTTATGTGAGGCAAAAAAAAGGTGGTAGCATATCAGACACCTATCCAAACTCAGTCTTGGTGAATAGGCTTATATTCTGATTATAACCCATAACCGAACTCTGGCGCCCCAAAACATAATCATAATTATGTTCTCGGACAGATCAGCAGCAAAGGAGTGATATTTAAAACAATTCCTTTTGAGCTGTACCAGGGACATGTTCAAAATATAGGTGGCAGGAAATATGTTGCATGCCAGCCACTCTGGTTCCATTATCTGCCTTGGAGAAAATATATACAACATAGGACTCCAAAAATCATCCCAGAATTTAGTTAACTCTCATACCAGGAAAGAGTGAGAGCCACAGGACTAACAACACCCCAAACCAGACATGACAGGGTAGATTTTATTGAAATTTAAAATAATAAACAAAATGGAGGATTGTCTGTCCATCTGTTCGTACTTGTATGGTCATTAGCATGCAAAGTTTTTCGGGCAGGTCCTCAATCCTAATTTTTCCCCAGAATTCGACCCGCCAAATCGTTTAAGAACCAGGTACCCATTAACTGGCTGGGTGACCAGAGGCTACAGTTAAGGATTGGCACTCAATCCTCCCAGACCAGGATACGAAAGTTGGAATATACAGCAATTATATAGTGCATATCTTAAGAAGCACTTCAACAATTTGGGAAAGGTGCATGCAAATAAATGGCTTCTAGAATTGAAAGACAAGAGCTACAAGGAGAGGTTAGAAGCATTAAATATACCACAGCTGAAAGATATAAGAAAAAGAGGCGATATGATCACTACATACAAAATAGTAATGGGAATTGACAAAAATTGATAAAGCAGAATTCTTGAGACCTGGCGCTTCAAGAACAAGAGGTCGTAAATTTAAGCTAATTTAACAAAGCTTCAAAAAAAACATTAGAAAATTCACTTTTGCAAAGTGGTAGATGGAACAAGTTAAATGAGAAGGTAGTGGAGGGCGAGACCATCAGTGGTTTCAGAGCATTATATGACAAAAAGTGCTGGGAAGACGGGACACCACAAATGTAGCTCTTATCCTGTAACTACACTTACGTAATTACACACTAACACACTCAAGAAGTTAAATCACTTGGATTTAAGCTAACTAAACAAAGCTGCTGGAAATCATTGGAAAGTTCACTTTTACAAACAGCGTGGTAGATGGTTATGGTGTGTGGATAATTGTCATCTTATATACTGTACTGTATCTTTAACCATCTTTTCCTATTCAGTATTGCTCTTGTATCTTCTCTATGCAGATATCTCCCAACTCCATAAAAGTGGGAGATATGGTAATGATGCTGATGATGGTACTCCATCCATACTATACTTTGGTACGTTTGTGTTTGTTAGGGTTGCCACAGCGCACTTGCCTGTTTGAGTGTCCTAACAATTCACTAACATACGAGTATGTTGTCATTGCCCTTTGTCTTTAAGAAAATTACAAATCCTAATCAAAGAAATGTAGACCAAAACAAACATTGCTGTATTAACTTCTTTCAATCTGTAGATTCACTTTGGATGATTAACATTTGTATACATATAAAATGTTAACAATTCTTTATTCCTCATTGACAGTAGTTCATCGTTATCAAAAACAGCATCAACCCCGGTTAATTTGTGTTTTAGCAATGATGGTACTGTACTTCTAAATGATGCTGATCTCTCAAATTGACATTGAAGATTTTCTGAATAAACAATACAAGGATCATTATTTCCCAAAATTTTTGGATTCTTCTAAGTACAGTACTGTATCTGGTTTTCTTATTTAATTCTTATCTTGATAGCAGTAGAAGGGTTCCTGGTTTCCCATTGTCAGAGATAAGAAGCCCGTTAGGCTTATTGAGGACTATTGCATTGTGAGCTGACTACATTGAGCACTGCACTACCAGTGGCCTAATATCAGACTGTAAGAAAACATATTCTCTTGTTCAAGTTTATATTAAATATTTAATGCTAGGAGTATTACATTATTGTCCAAGGATTAATCGGAACTTTAAGCATGCTGTCTAACTTCTGTCTCTCAGCCTTTGACTACTACAAACTGTAAATTGCTTTTCTTTTTATCTAGCCTGTTCAAATTTCTGAAATAAATATTATATAACTATAATTTGGCATGGTTTTGCTGTAAAATAATTCTGCAAAAATTATCTTAAACTTAACTGTTTACAGTTAAGTTTTGGTTCATGTAAAAATTTCTAATTAAATTATTGTTTGTACTGTTAATGCTAATTGTATATGTTTCCTCAGAGTCTGCAGTTGTGTACAATAAATCCAAGCCTGAAGGAACTTCTCCGCAAGTTCAGATTTCGTCGTGCTACAACAAATGCTGCTATCATAAGTAAACTATAGCTTGTTTGTACCACTTTAGTGTATTGTTAATTTTATCCTTTAGTTTTCTTTCGTCTGTGCACTGCTTATGCTAATTTTGATGACAACCACTCTTGTGTATATGAAAAAAAAAATACTGAAAATTTTGTTTCCAGGATAATTAACAAAAAATTGTGACTTTGGTTTTGGTAATGCGACGAAATGTCACGATGGTGTCACAATTCAGGAGTGTTCATAGGGCACTCATTGGTGGAGATCACCTCAGGCCAGGAGTGGGCCAGGAGTTGCTGTGAAGATGTTTTTACATATTTCAATGTCACTAATTTGTTTAATTGCTGTTTTTTTTACAGTAATATTATTCAATAGTGTCATTTGAGAAATTTATAATAAAATGTGTGGAACATTGGTATGCTGAAATATATTCATGTCACTAATATGTACACTAAATTATATTCATAAAACCATAAAATATATTGAGAACAAAGATGAATTATAATAATTGTAAAAAAGATTGTAAGGAAAATGGTTAATAAATAAAAAGGTAAAGGAAGAGTAGTTTGATAAAAAGTTGAGTGAGGACCGAGTATGAAAAATGTAAACTCATATCTTTCAAAATCGTTATAAACATACATTCATCAAAAATTTTGCAGTGAAGGTAAACCAGCAGTCCTCCGAGATAATCTTAGAGGAGGAGTTGGATAACATTGAGGATGTGGATGAACTACGAAATTCTATCCCAGACACTCAGCCTAGGTATGTCCTCATTTCTTGGCGCATTGAGCATCAAGATGGTAGAGTCTCCTATCCAATGGCTTTCATCTTTACCACACCGAGAGGTATGTATCTAGTTTTTATGAGTTCCATTTACTACTTTTGACATTTTTACAAGCTGTTGACCCATGTATATAGGATTTGATAATGGTGGAAATACTATACATACTGCACTACATTCAAAGCCTGGACTATTTTCCTTCTGTTAAGATTTTTATTGCATATTTTATTTTCCTGGCAGGTTTTTATTGCCCCTATTTTAACCTTCAAAGTGTGGCTATCATCACAATTCTCACCCTGCATGTGTGCAAATGTATCTGTTTTTCTCTTGAAATTGTAGATCTATGTTAAAAAATATGGAAAATACACACACAATTACCATGTATATATCACATAGAAATTAACACGTGATAAATAATGTGACAATGTCTAACCACAAAGGAAAATGAGAGAGGAGATTCCTTAAGTACTGTGCTTTCATATTAATCAATACATTTTCAGAAGGATAAATCCTTCTGAAGATGTATTAATACTAAAGTACTTAAGAAATTTCCTCTCTCGTTTTCCTTTGTGGTTAGACACCATCACATAGTTACGTATCTAACCTTATTTTGGTCTAGGTTGTGGTCAACATTCCTTCTGGGAATCATCAACAGTATATTGGGATCAAAGTCAGGACCAAACAAAAAAAATGTTCGATTTTTCATATGAAATATATTCAGAACTAAGGAATCTGTATGCAAATACAAATTCTTTGCATTCTGCATACAAAGAACAGTGTGCAAAGATACTATTTCCATACTTCTTTTGAAGTATGTGGTTCTTCCCAGAACCACACACTAAAAAAGTCATCCAATTCTTTCATTGCATTAGACTGTCAACCGCAACTGCAGATGATGTATGCTGGGAGCTACAGTCACATGATTAAGGAATGTGATCTAACCAAGGTGTTCCAGATACGTGACTTGGAAGAACTGGATGAAGAATGGATCCAGACCAATCTTGTAAAGTGAAGGAAGATAATTGGAAATGCCTCAGGAGCCTAAGTGTATGATGGATTATTAATTCACGATTTTGACATTTTCAGATAATTTATTTGTAGATTTGTAAGAGCAATAATGTATTTATTTAATGCAGTCATATGAGAATAGTTTTTCTGGAGATATATAAGATTGTTGATGCCAAAATTTTTAACAAATTTCCTGAACAGTTTAATCCCTTTGGTCATAAGCACACTGCAACTTTTACAAATCAGTGAAACATTGCAAAATAACATTATTAATACTGTATCTGTTGGTAAGATTTGACGTGTGTGTGTGCCTTTGCTTAGGCTTTCCTGGTTTACTCTCTCACTGATGAGACTAGGGTCAGCAGCCATGTCCACCATAATTTACTGTTGTTCCCACTCCCATTGATAGAATGGTAACACCTTTTAGTGCCACCATTATTCCCACTCCCATTGATTACAGAATGGAGGTATTACCACCATTATTTAGCTTTAATATTATGTGTTATCCATTATTTTCCACAAAACAAGTGCTTTGCTTCTATACAAGCCAATCCATCATACAAAATACTCTTGTAAACTTGAGTTTGCAGGCCTCCTGGTACTAAAATTAACACACAAAAGCATGAAGCAAAGCACAGGGTAAAACTCTACACGGGGGCAATGGTGCTGGAGGAAGATAGTTTTGTGTCAGAAAACCAGGTCCAGTTAGTTATTAAAATTTGTGTTGCCAAGTTCTTGTATGGACTGTTATTGTATATTTAGGAGCACATGACTTTTATTAATAGAGTTTTACATATATTTTCTATAGATTCACTGTATTGTAGTTAGGTATCATTTTCTGAAACTTGTGTATAACAAATACTGTATAATTCAATATTGTAGTACTAAAATCTGAATTTTGCTCTTAACACATTAATTCTGTGATATGTAAGACAATAGAAGTACTGTATAAAGATACTACAGTGGCACTGTAACTATAACTGTATTTTATGTGAAAGCTTTTATTTAGTGGCAAGTTGAAAATGATTATCACACTTGATTATTCACCTTTTCCGAGATTTCTTAGCTACAAGGAATTAGAATAACATTTAATTACTAACATTTCCAAATGCAGTGGTAACTCCGTTTTCAAATTTAATCCGTTCCCAGAAACAGTTCGAAAACCGAAGCAAATTTTTCCATTAGAAATAATGTAAATTGAATTATCTGTAATCCGTTTCACACTCCCAAAAATATTAACTTAAAAATACATTTTATACATACTACTACAGTACTTGTATTTTGTACTACAGTATGTGCAAGTATATCTTACCTTTATTGAGGACTCTTGTTGGCGTATGGAAGACAGTGAGGAAGGGGGAGAGGTGTTAGTGTTTGGAAAGGGAGTCCCCTTCCATTATAACAGCAGTGATAACATTTCTGGGGTACTCACTCTCCCTTACGTTTTGCAGGCATACCACTAGGACCTGGTTAAGGTTCACTGCTTGCTTGTCTGTAGTGAGAATCACATTCTCGCTATGAATGATTTCTTGTTTTTCCTCTTTCATCGTCCTTACAACTATTTTCTTAAGTTGAACTTTCCCCACTGACTTTCTTAGAACCCATGGTATGATATATAATGAGAACTTTTATGTTCAGAAACCACAAAAAAGCACAAAAACAATAAAATTCTTGATAAAGAATTCAAGTGTGGCCGTCAGTAGGCAGGAGACACTGGTAAACTGAAGCGTGCCACTCTCTCCGTCGGCCTATACGTGTATCAACAAACTCGAGTACCAAGTCAAATTTTTTTAAGAAATTGAGCTCGAGAACTGAAAAATTTGAAAACGGGCATTCGAAAACCGAGGTTCCACTGTATTCCTTTAATAAATTTTAATGTCTTTAATTGTACTGAAATGAGTTGTATCTTATAAAATATTAAATACTGTAATGAACTTTTAATAACAATATGGTATTTTAGGAAAGAAGCTTATAAGGCTTTGTTTACTTTCTGATTTGTATATATAGTTTTGATTAAAATGCAGTTATATGTAAAAAAGACAATGAGCAACATCTCATTCCTCTGTGTACCCTTGTTATTAGGAGACTGCTTATAGAATGTCCACTCTACAGCGGCTTTATTGCTGTTGTGGTACAGTAGTACATGCGAAATGTGCTAGAGAACTCTTCTTATTTAATATGAACCTGTTCAATATAGTCCAAAAGATGAGGCCAAAGCTGGTGTGGATTTGATGGAAGTACAAATGCATATCCTTCATTTTGGAACTTTAGTGTGAATTTGTAATACTGTATAGCTGGCATTTATAAATGAATTTATGTATTCAGTATACATATTAGTTATTATCATGTGTTTGAATTAACAGTTTTACTATTGTGTATTACGTTAGGGAGTAGTAGTTAGTAGACATGGACTGTTTTTATTATTATTGTTTTCAAAGGTAGACAAGTGAAGAATAAATTTTTTTCAAGTACTTTTCTATACACTATCTGAAGTTGGTGTATTCAAGTTTGCTTTTCTGGTGGAAAAGTAAGTTGTGCCATAAACTACACTTTAAGTGAAGGCATACAAGAACCTTCAGGCTTTGCTTGCTTCCTCCTCCTCAAAATCATCTGCCCTGAAGGCTTTCTGAACGTTTGCCAGCTTTGAATATATTGCTGATATTATCGTGCATATGATTTACTTTGGCGGTAGACTTGGGGTTATGTTTTCAATTTTTTTTCCTTATTTGATGAAGCATATGTCTTTCCAACATTTTGTATTGTTGCTGTGGCTTCCTCAACCCCATACAAATCTCATCACCATGCACTTGCTTGGCTTAAAATTGAGTAGTCATTCTTGAGACCATCTAGTTTGTCCAGGTCCTCCTGTAGCATTCTGTAGTCCTCCTCTTTTCTGACTGGTTTTGTCAATTTTGCATCATCAACAAACATTGACTTTTGGATTCTACTTCTTTAGTTGAGTCATTGACCAAACCTGAGAAACCTAGTACCTTACTGAGTCCTGTGGTATTCTACTTGTTACTCCCCTTTCACTACTACTTTACTTCCTGCTGGATACGTATTCTCCCTCCCAGTTCAGTATACTTCTAGTTACTCTAACCTGTTTCTTGGTTAGAGTAGGGGTCTCCTGTATGGTAGTCTTAAGTTAAAGGCTAATTGGCATTTCAAAAGAAATTAGGCTAGTTTATCTTCCTCTTTCCAGTGTGATCATTGACTTCGTGTTCCAAAACTTGAGCAAGTTTAGCAGTCAAGTCTTTCTTTTTGTGAATTTACATTAATGTTTTGTTAGAAAATTTGCCTGTTCTAGGTGTTTCTGTAGCTTCTATATTAGCCTGTAGTTTAGCACCTCCTGTCTACTGTATTGCCTTTCATACGACAATAGCTGTCTTCCATCTGTCAGGTAGCTGTTCCCTTTCTAGTGAAGTATTGAAGATTTCCCAGAGCTTCAGTGTATTCATCATCATCCACGGGAAGACTTGTTTGTGATCTTGCTGCGTTTATTGTACATTGTCAAGCTGCTGCTTTAAAAGTGAACCATAACAATTTTCCCTTCAGTATAGGCTAAGCTTTGTTGAGTGTATGCTATTTAATATAAAAGGGTTGTACAAGAACACCACAGTATAGGCCTATCTTGACCCTTTTCAGTTTGCTAATCGAGTACTGTGGAGGTTTGTTAAGTTTATTTTTCTGAACCTTCTTTTTGTTCCACAGATTTTTTTGTTTCCAATCCTATTTTTTAAAACATTTGAGTTGTAAATTTCTTAACCTTAGCATTAGTTTTTTATTTTCCTCAACAATTGCAGATTTAGGTTTAATGACATACAGTTCTAGTTGTTTTATATCTTTCATGTTTCTTGCTTCAGTGATGACGGTTAGTTCTGCCATTAATATTTGATTAGCTTCTTGGTGTATCGGTTGATGTTCACCATGGATGATGTAACTGTAAAACCTGCACAAGTTTTAAATTCTCTTTTCCAGTGAATTTCGTGTCATTTTTTTCTGTCATTGTCATATTATGTGTGAGTGATATGAATCATATCGCATATCAATTAAGAGTGATTTCCGCTCTTAATTGTACCTGACCTCCTAGGTACCTGGTACACTCTACCTTGATTGTATGTTCCCCTACATTATCTTGTTTGTCCTTGGCTCAATTTCTAGCTTGAGCCAAATTATTCTTGAGCTTACTCTAGTGGAGTTGTTGGTTACTGTTGTATATTTACCGCGTGTTACTTATATATCCCACTTTACCCCTCGACTACTCCTTGTCCACTACCACAGGTGTGTGACCAGTATTATTTGAAAATTACAGGTGATTAGGTCTCCTCTTTTATGATGAATATTTTAGTTGACCATTAGTGAAGATTTTTTTGTTTGCTAATGATATTTTTCCCATGCCCACTGTTCTTCACTCACTTTTAGGATAGTGGGGCTTGAAAGTTTATTGCAAACATTCTGTTACGAGGTAATCGAGCATATATTTTTATCTAGTGTAAATTGATTTGCTTTCTTTGGTTTGCGCTTTTTATTGTGAAAAGTTATCTTAAATTGCTCTCGGATATTTTTCTCTCCAGATGTTACCAGTTTTAAGTGTTGGAACTTGCACATTACCAGTTTCTTCTTTCAGTTTGCTGGTAGAACAATAAAGTCCACCATGGAGAAATTATATACACGTATAGTAGACTACTGCTGTTTTTCACCCTCCACTCATACTTAAGGTAAAACATTAACTCGTCAGTATAATGTGGTTCTCTCACTTGTGTGCTTTGTTGCAAGTTACATGTATCAAGAATGCCATATTTTGTTCTAATTTTGTTATTAAAATGACATAAATGCTTCAATACAGTATTGATACAATATTGAATTTAATTGAAGTTTTAACTCCAAAAACAAACTATTGTATACTTGTTTGCAGAAATCCAGCTACACTCTGCACAGCTGATGAGAATTCAGTTTTGAAATTGACAGTCAATTACAGTGTATTCATGCATCACTTTCCTTCCTTAATGCTCTGTAATTGTTTCATACATAAAGGCTTCCAAGCAGTTTGTTCAGTTGCCAACATGCCGTAACAATCAAAGAAATGCAGTTTGTGTGTTGAGGATAGTTGACCTTTTGTGAACATTAATTATGAAGGATAAGAGACAGCCAGACATTGTTTGCTTTGGTAGCTCAGAGTCACCGACTCAACTGCCAACCAGGAAGCTACATGTATTATGCATCCAGTATTTTCTAGTCAGTTACACTATTTACCTTTAATGTGTATTCAGAAAAGCATTTAATTGTGTTGGGGTCCAATTCTATGGTTTATTAATACAAATGATTCCAATATTGACACTGTATATCATTGAAGACTTAGGGGAAAGAGTGATGGTATTCCGGGGCGAAGGGGTTCACTCATCTCACTCCATCCAGCCAATTACAACCCCCTTGCATATTTAGTTTTTTTAACCTAATGAATGACTAGAGGGTCATAAAGCTCCCATATTGGATATCAATCTGTGGCACATGCTTTGTTTCATTAGCTTGCCCTTCACCACTGGCTATCACTCACTCACTCACTCATGTTTTAACTGCCTAATTTACTGTGTATTTTTTATGGTGTATTGTATCAATAAAACATTTTTTACATTACATTTATTAATAAAACAATTTAAGTATTAAATACCAGTCCTAGAACACATCCTATTTTTCCCCATAAGATGTTTAGCCCTTAATCTGCAGGGTTCGGACAGTAATACAGAGCGACCTCCCAAAGCTGGACCTCACTCTAACTGCTCCTTCTAA